ACGCCTATAGGTCTGCATTCAGATGCAAATTACCTGAACGCATTCTGTACGTTCTTAGATCTCGGTAATTAAGGATAAACTATTACTAACAATAAACCCCGAAGTAAAATACAAAGAGAAGAATTATGTATTTTGTGGGACGATAATAATTGACATCCAGAGCTCGTGCGGTTTCATCAGATCCACTTCTATTTGGTGAGCTCTGCTACTGCACAGACCCACTGTTCGCTGCACAAATCCGTTGGACTAGGCTTTGGCGGCTTTGGAACCGACTCACTTTGGACTCGTGAGACTGGCAACATAAAGTCACGTCCGTCAGGGGTAAAGTGGGTGGGTAAAAGGGTAGAGGGCACCGCACAGAGCAAGTGGTGTTCTGTATACTTCCTACGCGAGACTAAGCGCGTGCAGCTTTCAGGGTCGTGCCAGATGGCACAAGTCAATGTAATGAGCTGCATGCCAAACTACAAGAGATTTCCCCATAACCTGATAGAAAATGGGTTGTGTAGTTCATCAGAGTCCTGCTTGTTATTCTAGAGAACGGGTCAACTTACAGAGGGCCACTGGAAATATCGCCAAGACTTGCAACCGAAAGAGGGCCGCGCCATTTACCAGCAAAGATACCTCGTGAAAAATAATGCTTCCTGAAATCAAAGCACAAGAAGTTACTTCAAATGGCAAATTTTCACAATAATTAGAGCAGTTTATTGGCCAACTTGGAAATTCTGCCATTGTTGCATTTGCCAGCTGGTAGAACAGAAGGGAGGGAGGAGGCAAAGTACACTCAACACGTTTCTTCCCCTTCCTTATGCTTTTCTCACCAGATCATGGGCTTTGCATGTCTAGCCGCTTGTGTCATAGCTAAACTCCCTCTTCCAAGTTCTAACTGCTTTCACATCTTTGCTCTAAGCATTCCGCAGACAGATCATCTCCCCAACTCCCCTTCCGATATGACCATCCCGTATCGCTAGCAGTCAGCCAACTAGCCACTCACTTTACTTAACCGAGTCGGGCTCCTTGCCCGCACACACAAAACATGCATTCATGGCGCTTTAGCCACACAGGTCGCATTTATGCCTATCGGTGTGACCATGTCTGCAATCCCCCTCACCCCTCCCCTCCCCCTACCTTCTCATCCCCACACACATCCACATATCCTATCACCTGCAAATTTAAACCACACAACCACCAAAATTTGACAATTGTGTATTTTTCAGCCCTTCTTGCCTGAATTCCTTTACTCACTTATAAAAAACTACCAAAATTTTCCTTCTTTCCGCAGACCAATGTCCTGTCTTACCTGCTGCCGAAATCGTGAAAACGAGGAAGGGGAGCCAAGGAAAGTGACCCCAGCTGATTGGCTCAAAGGACGTCAGCACGGAGGTTGTAACGAAAAGAGGCCATGTCAAAAGCGTGTGTGTAAGACCTGGAAGGTGGGAAGGAAACATGAAAATTCAAACAAGGAGAGCCAGAAGTTAGTCTACATTCTGCTTTCTTTAAGTTTAAAAATAAGGCAGACTCGACAACGGTTACATAATTTGAAGCCTACCCACAAAGCCGTAGAATGCCGTGACCCTGCTGACGGTTATATCGCCGACCAGATTCCTTCGAATCGTCTAAAAAGGGTCATTTTGAAAGAGGATTTAGCTTTGAGGGCGTTGCTAATTCCGCTCTTCTGCTGATACAATTGCACTTGTTGGGTGGAGACAAGAAGGATGGAAAAGGCAGGCGTAGTGATCGTTCGTCTGTGAGCTTTGTCGTTCCACTGCTCCTGTCCGATGAGAGTTGTGTGTGGGTGGTTGGACTGAGGGCACAACTTCACCGCCTTTGGCAATAATGAACCCAGTATGCCAGTGTCATAGCTACAGAGCACTCGAAACGTCAATCCGACCACAGTCGCACTCACGCAGACTGTGGAAATAAACAATGGAATCCAACGTCTGAGGATAAGTCTTTCAGTGGCGGTTAAGAGTTACCATAAATGGCGTGTCAGAT